CGGACAAATGGGTCATTCCTCGGGCTCTGGGCTCTCTCCATTCAAAACTCAACAGGCACAGCGTGAGCCTACAGCCTGGTGAATGGGTGATCTCAGCAGATGCAACACTCCCCAGAGGCAGGTCCCCAATTTGATACACTGGATGGGGGTGGGGAAGTCGCAAACCCTGTCTGATTTCTCAGGCTATTTCCCATGTAGATGGATACAGGAGACCAAGTTTCATTACTATTACCCTCAGACCTGAATAATGAGAAGCAAACTCTTTCTTACCTATGTCAAGGTGAAAACAGAATGAGCTGAAATGTCAATCCTTGTACTCAATCAGTGACCTCAGGGAGAGCCATATAACCTCTTGGTAAAGTTACCAGTTCTGTCTCCTCCAGGAAATGACATTAGTATCTGCAACCTTACCAATCTCATTTATTTTGCCCCATGACAATATAATATTTAGTTACCTAATTTTAAATTTAACAATTATATCTCCTGGGTCAAGTGGAATAGAGTAGCCTGTAGCATAGCAACTAGAACGTCTGGAGGAATATGGAAACCATGTGAAAAAGGCATTGTATATCTGCTAAGAAAAAATTGGTCTCAAGATCCAGAGATGGGAAAACATCAGAGAGGTATGCTCATGGCTATAGTAATTAACTATCAACTGTGTTCATATCATGTCCACCTCGGAGTCAGGGCAGGAGGTGTTACAGCATTATGACTACCATGGGAGGAGAATGCTCCCTTTCTGAAAGAAGATAAACATGACCTCAAATTCTGCATTTTTTCATATATTATATCTGGTATTTAGCCAGAAGTTATTAGACATTTCAATGATACATAGAGGTGAGCAGGAGAAGAAGAGTTGGGGGAGGAGAAGGTTGAATCCCCAAAGTTCAGATGGGTGATGTGGACACTAAGTGGAAGACACTCAGTGAAACTGCAGAGTGAGAACCTTTGCAGTGGCACATGAGGAAAGTCTAAATAAGTTTTTCATTCTAGGAGGAGTTTTTGGGTACCTCAGTATCCAAGGCAGAATTCAATTTACCTATACTTCAGCCTTCCTGATTATGAAGAACCGGTTTAACTCCCCAAAGCACCATGACTCTGGTCCCATGATGAGGATGTATAATGATGAAGGAAGTATATAGGCATTGCCAGTGGTGCTCCTGAACATGTGCAAGGAGCATTTCTACCAGTCCCAGAGGAAAAAGCATGTAAGTTTAACTGATCCCCAAAAGTTTTCTTGTCCTCTAAAATAAGAAAGGAAATAAATTTCTATTACCTGTTGAGAAAGGCATGAAGAAGTTGCTTTTTTTAAAGTTGCCATTTTCATCCAGAAAATGACCAGGGTTGAACTTCTCTGGGTTGGGGAATTCTTTGTCATCGTGCAGGACAGATGTCAGGGATGGTAATATGACTGTGCCCTGGACGCAATAGAGATAGGTAACCCAAGTTATGAAGGAGTCACAAAGCTGTAAATAACAACAGTTATTACCTAGATAAATCTTTTGATCTACAGATGAAGAAACACAGGTCCAAAGAACAGCAGGAACATTTATGGACACACGGACCCAATCATCAACAAGGATGAGTTTAAGATCAGTGGTGATGATCTTGCTGAAGTCCTCCCCAATAACAGTTGCAATCCTGAGCACTTGGTCACTGGGGTGATAAACGTTCTTAATCTGTTCTCCTTATCAAGGTTGGAACCCAGGGTCTATCCCCACAGGCTGCTCTATTTCATCACTTCAGTTTTCACACATCCTATATATAGACTATGGTGTAAAATCGAAATCTCTGTTGGCACTTAAAATATCCAAACTACCTGTTCATAGGGCTCTTTTAAACTAGATCATATGATCTAGTAAAATTGAAAATGATATTTTGTAACAAGAAAACAAGAATAAAACGACCCGAGTGTTTATCATTGCCAAGCACGTTTTTTGTCTTGATATTAAATCATGGAGGGAGATATTCATTAGAGATTTATCCTAAACTTACAACCAGAGAAGGGATGATGAAATTAGAAAAATGCTCACTTCGTGACTATTCAGGTCAGGATCATCAGTTAAAGCTGAAACTCTTGGTTGTGTGACTTGGAAAGCAGGATTTACATAAAGTCTTAAGGTACCGTGTCATGGATATTCATTAATTATGCATAAACCTACATTGGAGAACCTCTGCGATGCAGAAATCTGGCAGATATCACCTTATTACCAAGGAAATGAGCATAACCAATAATGGCACAAGTGACATATGTACCGCCACCTCATCAATGAGATTCTGTGGGATATTCAAAGTACCTATGCCTATTCTTGCCAAAATCATAACTATAATCTAATATTGAGAACAAAAAAACAGTCTAAGGAACATTATCAATCGCTACTACCTTGGACTCCACAAAAAAATCAACATATCAAAAGGAAACAAACAAAAGAAAGGAATTGTGTCCTTGATCACAGGAGACTAAAGAGAACGATAAGCAAATTATATGCTTGTTCCTGGACTGGATGGTAAATAGCAAGAGAAAAAAAGCTAAAATAATTCTACTAAATTTGGAAAAATTTACATATAGGCTGTATATTAGATCATGTTATTGTAACAGTAACTCCTGAACGTGAATGCTATTTTTATAAATTAGAAGAAAATCTTTACTCTTGGGGCATACAGGGGAAAGTGCTGATATATAAAGAAATGGATGGAAAGATATAAAAGTACATATATATACATGTTCATATATATATATACATATATGTCTATATGTGTTTTAATTTTATTTAGATATAAATTTTTAAAATAAAAATATAGGGAAAATCCATCCCTAAATTTGTAATATTAAATGCCTATAATTTAATTTTTTAAATTATTTCTCGGAATGGATAAACAATTAATATATGAAAATGTATCTTAAACATATATGAGTGGATATACTTTCAACAAATGATACTCCAATACGTGGAAATTCATAAGGAAAAAATTGAAGCATGACCATTACTATTCCACGTCATAAATTAAAATTAACTAGAAAAGCGTCTTTATTTAAACAGAAGTTGTAAGAAAATCTACAAAAATATAATAGTAAATCTCTGAGCCATTTGGTGGCAAAATTTCTTAGGATATGGGGCACAAAAGCACAATCAACCTCACATCATTGCATAGTTTTCTACTTGACAGAATTGTTTTCCACTGGGCACAAACATAGTACTTACAAGACCATGCATTAATTCAACCTACCTCTTATCTTAGCATAGCCCATCAGTAAGAATGTTTTTACAAATGCCCAAGAATAACATTTTTGACATATGGAAAATATATGAAATTTAATTTTCATTCTCCATAAAAACTGGCATGTATCCTTCCTCATTCTTTCACACATTGTCTGTGACTACTCCCATGCCACACTGGCAGAGCTCATTAGTGCACCAGAAAACCTATGTCCTGAAATGTCTGAAATATTTCCTATGTGGCCATTACAGAAAAAGTTGGCCAACTCCTGTCTTAGACCATGAT